AACATCACCTGGGGACCCCAAAACATCACCTGGGGACCCCAAACATCACCTGGGGACCCCCAAACATCACCTGGGGACCCCAAAACATCACCTGGGGACCCCAAACATCACCTGGGGACCCCAAAACATCACCTGGGACCCCAAAACATCCCCTGGGACCCCCACAGTGTCCCCAGGGTCACCCCGCAGTCTCTCCAGTGCCACCCCCCAGTGTCCCCGGTGTCCCCCCACCGTCAGCCTCAGCGAGGGGGTCCCGGGGGTCCCTCCGGGGGTCCCGGGGGTCCCTTCAGTCCCGGGGGTCCCCCCGGGGGTCCCGTCGTGCTCCGGGAACGCCACCGAGTCGTAGACGATGCCCAAGAGCGCCGGGTCCTCCGAGGATGGCACCAGGTGACCAAAACCCTGCGGGGTGGGGAGAGGGGACACCGCGGGGACATCACGGGGACATCGCGGGGACACCACGGGGATATCACGGGGACATCACGGGGACATCACGGGGACATCACGGGAACACCGCGGGGACACCATGGGGACCTGGGGACACCTTGGGGACACCGCGGGGACACCATGGGGACACCTTGGGGACACGCCAGGGACTTGGGGACACCTTGGGGACAACATGGGGATACCCAATGCCACCCCCCGTGTCACCAGGACACCATGGGGACACCCTGGGGACACCTTGGGGACACCCCAGGGACTTGGGGACACCATGGGGACACCACGGGGACTTGGGGAGATCATGGGGACACCCAATGCCACCCCCCATGTCCCCTGGACATCATGGGGACACCTTGGGGACACCTCAGGGACTTGGGGACACCATGGGGATGCCTTGGGGACACCACGGGCAGACCGCAGGGACTTGGGGACACCTTAGGGACACCATGAGGACACCCTGGGGACACCACAGAGGCCTGGGGACACCCTGGGGACACCCTGGGGACACCGTGGGGACACCATGGGGACACCCTGGGGACACCCTGGGGACACCCTGGGGACAGCTCTCACCGTGACGGGCAGTGCCACCCCCCGGTACTGCAGGTTGACCACGGCCACCGAGGCGGCCGAGATGGCCCCGAGCTCCCGAGCCAGCGGCTCCGCATCGGCCGGCAGCGCCCGGGCCAGCGCTGGGGACAGCGGGGACAGCGGGGACAGCAGTCAGGGGACAGCAGTCAGGGGACAGCGGGGACAGCGGGGACAGCAGGGGACATCAGGGGATGAGGGGACATCAGGGACATCAGGGACATCAGGGGATGTCAGGGGACATTGGGGGACATTGGGGGACATGAGGGGACATCAGCGAGGACATCAGGGGACAGGAGGGACATCAAGGGACATCGGGGGACATCGGGGGGGACATGAGGGGACATGAGGGGACATCGGGTGACATCAGGGGACACACAGGTGACATCAGGTGACATCAGGTGACATCGGGGACACTCCGGGGTCTCCCCCCCCAGCACCAGCCCTACCTGCGGCCGGGAGCGCGCTGATCACGTGATCGGCTGTGACGGTGCTGTCCGGCAGGGTCAGCTGTGGGGACATTGGGGACATTGGGGACAGTGGGGACATTGGGGACATTGGGGACAACGGGGACATTGGGGACACTGGGGACAGTGGGGATAATGGGGTAGGGACACAGGGAGGTGACACAGGGAGGTGACACAGACAGGTGACACAGACAGGTGACACAGACAGGTGACACAGATGACACAGACAGGTGACACAGACAGGTGACACAGACAGGTGACACAGACAGGTGACACAGATAGGTGACACAGGTGACACAGACAGGTGACACAGACAGGTGACACAGATGACACAGACAGATGACACAGGTGACACAGATAACACAGACAGGTGACACAGATGACACAGACAGGTGACACAGACAGGTGACACAGGTGACACAGACAGGTGACACAGGGAGGTGACACAGACAGGTGACACAGATGACACAGGCAGGTGACACAGACAGGTGACACAGATGACACAGACAGGTGACACAGATGACACAGACAGGTGACACAGATGACACAGACAGATGACACAGACAGATGACACAGACAGGTGACACAGACAGGTGACACACACACACACACTCAGAGGAGTGTCCCCACCTGCCAGCGGCCGCGGTGACGCCTGAGGTGTGTCAGGGGCGCGTGGCAGCGCAGCTCGGCGCCGCGCGGTGACACGAAGGCCACCAAGGCCCGTGCCAGGCTCTCCATGCCCCCGCGCAGGGACCACTGGCTCCAGCGCTCCGCCCTCGCCCGCCGCGCCAGCGCCGGCGCCGGGGCCGCGCCGCGCCCGCCTGCGGGGACACCGCCGTCACAACGGGGGGACGGCGGCACCGGGGTGACACCGGGGCCCCCAGGGTGGCCCCAGGGTGGCCCCAGCGGTGTTCCCAATGTCCCCAGGGTGGCACCACTGTAGCACCAGGGTGTCCCCAATGTCCCCAGTGTGTCCCCAGTGTCCCCAGTGTCCCCAGGGTGGCACCAGTGTCCCCAGTGTCCCCAGTGTCCCCAGTGTCCCCAATGTCCCCAGTGTCCCCAATGTCCCCAATGTCCCCGATGCCCCCGT